GAGAAGGGTATAGTTTCTTAAAGAGAAAAGAAGCTATACTTACCTCTTGGACACCGCATATACCTATAAAAGGATTCTCTGTGCCATGTCGTCGTTATAGAGTAAATTAAGAAGGCTTTACTCTGTAACAATATGTATACTTTTCTAATATGTATTCACCACTCAGAGCCCACTTTGAGTTATAGATATTCTCTTGTTTTTTGAACTTTTTTTGTTTGCCTTCTACTCTTGTGGACCTTACTTTGTTACTAGCTAATACCTTTTCGAGACTATAATCAAATGTACCGACCTCATTTTGAATAAGTGTGTCTATTCTTGTCTCTTGATTATGCTTCACTAAGTCACTACTATTCTTCTGTTCTACGAGGCTTCTTTTACGAGAGATGCCATTGTTGTTGCAAGTTGTGTTGTTACTATAATTTTCAGATATAATCACAGGTTTTGTGAAAATAATTTTCATATCTGTGGGACTTAGATTAAGTTTATTGTCTTCTTTCTATATTATCTCCATACTATTGCTTTGTCCCAGTAGAATTTTCTCCTCGTCAGATAGTGTATTCTGCTTGAACTCCTTGTTTCAGGCCCAATTATACCTTTCAACAACCTCACATAAAGCTGCTATAAAAAGTATATCTTTACAACCTAAAAAGTCTGCAATGTGATTGACCTGTTCAACTAAGGTTGATTTTTGTTCTTTATATAATGCTAGTTTCTCCTCATCGGTTTGGTTAAAGAAGTTTTTGTACTTTCAGAGTATTGGCATTGCTTCTTTCACATGATTTGTGTATTGGTATATTGCTTAATATAACTCTTTAACTTTGGCTTAAGCTCTAATTAAGTCACGTGTTTTACGTGTTTTTACATGTTTTTAACGTGTCTTTACGTGAAATATAGGTTGTTGATTTCGTGTATCTTTGTGTGTCTTTGTGCAATAATCTTGTGTTACACCAAAGCTCTACACTACAGGATTAATGCTATTTTCCCTAAAATTAAAAAAGCGAGAAATATTTTTTAACAAACTAAAGTGCCTTTGTGTTTTAGCACTTCTATGTTGAGAAATATTGTATTTGACGTTCTATCTAGACTTCTTCTACTGCTGAACTGACTTTTATTGCTTATACAATCTTCTGTTTGATTTCATCATATTCAGCTTTTGAAATCACTCTCGCTGTGTTTTTGGAGTTTTGCTCTTTTTTCACTTGCAAGTAGACTAGCTATTGTGAAACTACCTTGTATTTATGTCTTTTTTGTTGTCTGGTAGTATCTAGCACTGTTGTGTTGCCTTATAAATTGGTAAATGGACACTTTTTCTTCTTACTAATTTTTGTACCAAGTGATCATCGGGGAGAGTAATAATAAATTATTTTAAACAAGAACCTTTTTGTATATTTATTTATATATTCTTTTGTTTACTAAATAAAACATGCAATTTACTTGGATATTCTGTTGTATTGATGATCACTGAATAAGCTTTACTCAACTTACTAGTAAACTTTTTTTTTTATAATGTATTAAACAAAAAAGTATAAACAGTTTAAATATGAACTAGGTGAAGTATTACTATATTGTTAGTTGCTTGGGTCAGTAGAAAAGGTATTGAGTTTGGAGTAAAAAAAGTTTAATACTAGGAACCGGAAACCGGTGTGAGTCCGAAGCAAAATACACCATATCAGTATATATTTACCTTATAGCTTTAAATTTTAAAAGAAAAGATACTTAATTTTGAAATTTTGATCAAAAATTCAAAATTAAGCATCTTTTCTCTTAAAATTTAAAATTATA